CTCTGGCTAATGATTCCAGAACTATATTGAATAGGTGTGGTGATAGAGGACATCCTTGTCTTGTACCAGATCTAAGAGTAAAAGATTTCAGTTTTTCCACTGAAATCCATTGAGAATTATGTTAGCCTTTGGGTTGTCATAGATGGCTTTTATCAGATTGAAATAGAGGCCTTCTATTCCAATTTTCTGTCCAAGCTACATAGTGAGATGCCACAAAAAAAAAAAAAGCAGCAGAATCCAAGCTGTGGTACCAAGGTTATTCCCTGCTGAGAAATGTTAACTCCCCCTGAGCCACTTACCCTGACTGAAAATATCACACACACACACACACACACACACACACTATGTAAAGGGCCCTGGGTACTAGAAACTGAAGTCTGAGTTGACCCTGAGTTGAAGGCAGGGTACTGGGGATTACAGAGGACAGGGACAGGGAGGGAAGGGGCAGAACACCAAGTGGAAGAAGAGGTCCCTCATGTGATTTTTTAAAGATTTATTTTAATCATTTATTTATTTATCTATTTGGTACTGAGTTTTGCTACACATTTTGGATTCATAGTGATCCTCCTGTCTCAGCCTCTCCAGTGCTGGGATTATAGATGTGCACCACCACGCCTGGTTTCAGTGGCCAGCCCGGCACAGGGTCAGTACAGCATGTAGTTCTGGACGTCGAACCCCAGTCTCTGCACTTGCCATGCAGGTACATAGGCCACCAAGCTATGTCCCCAACCCCTCGTGCTTTCTAATCAATAACTGTTCCTCCTACCAAATGTGCGCACACACACACACACACACAACTTTCATTGCAGGACCCCAACCCTCCTGAGCTCTGTAGGAAGCCCAAGGTCACTCAGAGTCTTAACAACCTCTGTATAGGTGTACACAAGCCTAAAACCCCAAGAATTACAGGAAAGGGCAGCACAAGGCTCAGCAAGGAAAGAGTACAGATGTCTCTCCTCTTCGGCATGAAATACCATTTAGGACAAAGCACTGATTGTCTCTGGACACCACTCCAGAGACTCGAGCTATCTGTCTGCCCCTCCTGGGACAGGCAGGTTGCTGTGCACTCAGCTTCCAGTCCTCTCTCTGACCTGGCCATGGCTCACTGTAGCTGAGTGTGATACTCTTTGAAAACAGAACAGAACCAGGCCCAAGCCAAAGTCCCTGGTGGCTGGTCTTAGGTTGGGGGGGGGGGGGTCCTGTCATCCAGGGCAGTGAAGGTCACCAAAACTGGATCCTACAGAGGAAAGCACTGGACAGCTTGCCTGTATCAATCAAACAATAAGCAAATGGCGGGGGGACCCAGTATCCACCTCGGATTTGGCCAAAGGTAAGCCAGGGACCCTCAGCTGGGCCTTGCGGTGCCCTCTCCTGTTCACTGCTCAACAGCCAGATTTTCCTTCCAACCCAGTTCCTGCCAGCCAGTACCTTCCTCCTGGGTTCACAAGCCAACTCTGTGTATGGGCCATTAGGATCAATCCTGACATATGGATGCCTTTAAGATAAAATTCATCAGGCTGGGGATACAGCTCAGTGGTATAAGTACCTGCCTGGCAAGCGCAAGGACCCGGGTTTGTTCCCCAGCACCACATACTGTGCTGGCCCTGGAACCCCAGGTGCACTGAGCCAGTCACCAAGACTGGTCATAGTGGCACACGTCTGTAATTCCAGAGCTGGGGAAGCTGAGACCAGAGGATCACTACTGTCTGAGCTGCATAATGAAACCCTGTTCCGGGTCTGCCAAATAGCTCAGCAGATTAAAGTGCCTGCAAGCAGGCACAGAGGCCAGGGGTTCAATCCGCAGGCCTGCCATGCCAGCCCCGCCCCAGGGCATGCTGAGCCAGTGATTGAGACTGGGTGTGGTGGCATGCACCTGTAATCGCAGCACTCGTAGGAGAAGCACTACGAGTCCAATCTAGTAGTAAGACCCTGAACACCCTGTAGACCCTTCCCTAAAATACAGAAAAAAAGAGAAACCCTGTATCAATCAAACGATAAACACATACAGCTCACTTATATATAAATTTTTGGAAAGCTATACTAAAGTTGAAATATAAGTCAGACATGAGAATTAAGTCACTTTTAGAAAACACTTGCATTTCCGTGCTTAGACTCCCCACATGAGGAACAGTAAGAAAATCATCAGCTAGTTCAATCCACTTATGATGCATAAATCTGAATTAAGAGTAGACCATCAGAAGTCACTTCAAATAATACATATAGGGAAAAATCAACAAGCTAAATATAAAATAAAAATTAGCATTCCAATAGTAATTGATTAGCCTTTTGTGTGTAACTAATAGAATGTGAAAGGGATGTTTGTGTCATGTGCCACAGGGAAATGGCTTCGCTCTATGGTGTCCCCAACCACCACTTAACAATCACTTGTCTGGATGCAGCCACCACCTGCCCATAGTGTCCCATCCAATCCTTTGAGCAATGCCTGAGGGACAAGCACCTCTCAGATAGGAGCGCAGGGAGGTACAGCAGGACAGACAAGCTCTGCCTGGGAAACTTCTCCCACGCCACCGCATTCTGTCCTCAGGGAGTAGCTGCTGCCTGTGCCCGCTGTCCATCGATCAACCCCAGCATTTGTCTCCTGGGGCCCTTGGCCTCCTCCACACGCTGAGCCCAGGTCAAGACACTCATCTCCCAGTGCTGTTCCCCTTGGGTTCGGCGATGTTCAAGGGAACTGGGTAGCCTCATTCCAAACCCTGCTGCTCTTGGCAACAAGCCAGTCACCATGGACACTGTCTGTCCATCCGTAAGGCTCAGCCCTGATGGGGGGAGCAGCAGCAGACAACAGAACATGCGGACCTACAATCAGGAGGTTGCAGGGCTCTTTCGCATATCTATCGCTCATGCTTTGGGTGTGGTCTATCTCCCCCAGCCTTCCAGGTCCTTCTCCTTGGGGTGCAGGGAGAAAAGAGACTGAAGATCCAGCTGGAACTTGGATGCCTCCCCTGTCTACTTTCAGAGGCCTTAGTAGCATCCCCTGCTGGGCCGATGGCAGGGGCCCTCAACACAGACTGAAAGAAGGAACTCTGAGGTGAAACACATCATCTACTGGGCATAGGTTTCAGAGCTGAGAAAGTGAGGCAAAACACGCCATTTAAACTGCTTCCCTCTCCTATGCCAGAGGAATGGATGCAGGCAAATTCTTGTGGGCCAGTGAAACAGGATCAGCTGCCTTTTCTAGAAGGACACTGGGGTTGTATGTTGCATGTGGTTGTCACCAACCACACCCAAGCTCAGGCCTCAGCAATGCCCCCCTAACCCCCTGCAGACAAGGATGGGCCCCCGGGACAGCTGTGTGGTCAAACGATGGTGCAGCCGCAGCAGTAGCGCTCAGGGTAGTCCACCGCGTACACCTGATGGTCAGTGCCGTAGACATAGTAGACAGAAGCCTTTCCTTGATACGAGTAATGAACTTCTGTGAGGGGGACCAGCTCAATGGTCTGGCGCTGAGGAGACATTAAACATTCCAACAACAAACTTGAGTCTTTGTCACTCACCTGCTCCGGACTCTTCAGTAGCTCCCTGATGCCAGTAGGATGAAGTTCCTGCTCTCAAGTTGGCATGAACTCTGGACTTGGCTGCAGAGTCCAATCTGCCTGTCTAGATTTATGTTCCGCGCTGCTCCTTCCCATAGCCTCAACTCTGGGAAAAGCCACCTTCTCATCCACGGCCACCACCAGAGTCTGCGTGTTACCAAGTTGGGTGGAATATCCCCAGGGATAGCCAGCAGCCAAACGCAGTGTCGTCCAGTGAGCTAATTTAAGATGAGTTCAGGGAAGCTGACAGATAAAGTCATCTTAAACGTTTTTATATTGAAATACCCATGAGGGACTAGGGACTGGTTTGTAAGTTCTGGGTTAAATTTTTAGATACAACGCCACTAGCAGAGAAACTGCAGAGTTTGATGGGCTGTCGGACTGTGTTCTCAGACCTCTCTTACCCTACCAGTTTTATATTGTCCCTGACTTGGGCCAAGTCTCTCTCAGTGTCCCCGTCTGTTCTGGTTTCTGACTCGATGTCCCTCCAAAGCCTCATGCAACCACAGAGCTTTTTCAGAGGTGGCTGAATCTAGTGTGTGACACTGGGACTAAGGTGGGTGATTGCTAAATCAGTCCACTGATTGGTTTGGCACCACCTGCTCGCGTGGCCTAGATAGGATAAAAGGGGCAGAAAGAGGCCATTCAGCTCTCTTGTTGCTTTGCTACCTTCTGCCTGCCATAAACTGTTTGCCATGTGCCACCTTGCCCTGGAGCCCCCCCCACAGTGCACTGAAACCTCTGCAAACCATGAGCCAAATGAACCTTTTCGCCTGTAAGTTTGGGTGTCCGATATTTTGTTTCAGCAGTAAGAGAAAAGTAATTAAGATACCTTCTCTTCATAAATGGGGAGATGGGGGCCTGTGTGCTCATAGAAACTCAGGTTTGGAAGGTTGCCCAGTTCCAGCCGTCTCCTCTCTGCAGTAGCACCATTTAACGCTCAAATCTCCTCCCCAGCACCCACTGCCTCTTAAATGTCCCAAAGTGGGCACTCCATCCCACAGAGCGGTCCTGGTCCTGTACACTGTCCCTGCCCTCCTTGAGCAGCTACTCCACCCCTTCCTGAATCCAGAGGTGGTGACACATGCTGGGCACTGCCCTCTGTTCACCTCGAAGGCTGTTTTCTCGGAGGCACTGACCCTGCACTGTTCCTGTCAGAATGTGACAGGCCCCTGGTGAGGCAAGGTGAGCCTGCTTGGGGGTTGGGGGGGGCCATCCTTGTACCACCTGAATGAGTTTTTCCCCTTTGCACTGTCAGATTTGAGGATTCCAAGCTTGAGGAGAAGCAGCCTGGCAGGAAATCTACCCCCCTAGCACAAGCCAGGTGCCCCTGCTGTGATGACTTGGAAGCCCTGGCAGGAGGGGGCCCAGCTCAGCCACTCATACCAGGCTGTCTCTACAGCAGAAAGCTTCCCCTGGGACTGCAGGGAGAGCAGGAAGACAGCTGACCACAGGAGTGGAGGGGAATCATCTTATAGATACGAACACTGAAGCTCAAGGGTGGAAAGAGGCGCTCAGAACCACAAATGAAAGCCTAAGCTGGGAAGCAGGTGCTAACCTGGTAAGGATGCTGTCCCCATGAAAAGGGACCCTGGTCCCACAGCTGGCTGGAGGATCCTTGTGAGCCTATGCCAGTGGCTTCCAGAGTTGCTACTAAGAGGCCAGGTGGTCTTGGCAAAGCACAGCCACTCTCCGGGCCTGCTCTCCTTTATATGAATTCAAGCCTTCAGATCAGACCAGGGAAAGCCAGAGCGAGCTTAGCTCTTTAGGAATTCAGTCATCAATACTGACAAATTGGAAGGTTTTGTGTACAAAGCCAGACATCAGGAGGTCTGGACACGCTGGGCCCTGAGCTGACATGAAGCTGAGTGGTGGCCATATCCTCTGGATAAGGGATGCCCCGCCACCACGGAGCCACCTGGCCTGGCCATGGGTAAGTGTGCAGTATCCAGACTGTGTGATATATCCACTTACTTCCTGCCTGATCTCAGTTGGCCCTTAAAATTCTTAATAAATGTACCCTTCTCAATTCTGCAAATAGGAGAGTGAGAAAAAAGTGGAGGGAGGGAGGGAGGGAGAGAGGGAAAGATGAGGGAGGAGAGAGAGAGA